GCTAGGATTGCCAAATAACTCTCTCCTTCAAGCATTTCCTGTGCCTCGAGCTGCATTTTATTCCTATAAGGTGACTGAAATCCCAACTGGGCATAAGCATAGATTGAGAAATGTGGCTGTGAAAGAGACTGTGAGTAACGATAAGAATGACGGAACAAAGTGTGAGAGAGCCAAGTACCTTCTTTTCTCTGCCATGTCAGGCCACCGTGTGGCCAATAGTAGGCAACATCCAAGGAAAGAGGGAACTGGCAAATGGGACTTGTATAGGAGTGATGAACCAGGTAGGAGGTTGCTGTTGTTAGGTCCTATAAGGCCGACTATGACTCAGAGCAACCCTGTGAACAACAAATCACAACCTTGCCCTATCTTGGCCATCCTCACACTCATGCTCAAGTTCACTGTCACAGCTACTGTATCAATCTTTTTCATTGAGGATCTTCATCTCTTTTATTGACTCTCTGCTTTCACCAACATCATGTCTTTTACTGAGGCCTGGTGACTCCTGATAACGTGTTCAAGATATATTGAGGTGAAGTTACACCCTTCTTTTTCTTAGGTGTGCTTCCTTTAAGACAGATTTGTTTGTTCTTTCGGTAATCGTGACATATTCAATATGCTTCACTAGTATCACAATTCAAAGGCATTGATTCTTTTGTTTTCCTTATTTATTGTTCAATTTCACTTGCAATTGAAGCAACTGAAAAACCACATGTCTTGGATCAGGTATACCTTAGTCTTTAAATATATAGTCTTTAGCACATTAAAGATGTCCTTAACAGCATGTTTGTCAAATACCCAATTAATCTTTTGATTTATTGCATGCTGTTACCATGTAAATATGTGCTTGTGGATCTAAGTAAAATTAAATCTTTGACAATTTTTGTATTTTCTCTTTTGATCATGATGCTGTCGATTGCTCCAATTGTAAGGATTTTTGTTTTCTTTATCTTGAGATGTAATCTCTATTAAAGACTGTAGATACTGATCTTCAGTTAGTGTTTTTAGTCTTTTTCATTTAATGCAAGCAAGGTTGGGTTAAGTGCATAACTTATTGATGGGGAAACATAGCTGAAGAATGAAATGTTTATTTGGATTTTTTTTAAATTTTTTGGAGGGTTTTTTTTTTGTTGTTGTTGTTTATTTGGATTTTGTTGTTGTTGTGTACTGTAGAGTGAAAAACCAACCCATAGCTGATCCTCTGGTGGGTTTTTAGAGTCAGTTGATGGCAAGGGAGGAGATTGCCTATCTGTTTCCCACAGAGCAGCTTGTGGCCTCAAACCATGTGCCTTTGGGATTATGGTGCAGCTTCTAGGTCACGAGGCCACCATAGCTCCCTTGCCACTAGGCCACCAGGGCTCCCTATTCTATCTGGTGTAAAACTCACAGCTGTTGAGTTGCTTCTGATGCATAGTGATCCTATAGGACAGAGTAGAACTGTCTCCTTAGGGTTTCCAAGGCTGTAAATCTCACTTTCTCTCCCGTAGAGCTCCTGGTATGTTAAAGGAACATTCTAGTTAGCTTAGTAAGAGCTTCCTCAGATCCTACAGGGGCATTAACTGCATTTTGGTCCTCCAAAATGGAGTGCTCTCGTGGCCTAGTGGCTAAGGAGTTGCACTACCAACTCAGAGACAGACAATTCAAATCTACCAGCTGCTCCTGTGGAGAAAGATGGGAAATTTCCTGTGGAGAAAGATGAGAAAGATACAATTTACAGCCCCTGAAAATCCACTGGAGGGTAAGCTATGAGTAAGTTCTGATTCCACAGCAATGACTTTGTATCTTTTAATTTTTATATGGCTCAGTGAGAAGAAGCTGAGGCACGTGGTTCAAATCCACCAGCTGAGCCTTGGTAAAGGATTAACTGCCTCTGAAAACCTCCTGGAGGGTCACTTGATTGTAAACAACAACAATACTAATAAAAAGCTTAGCTAGCATTTATCAGGAACTTCTTTGTGCCCCACTAGATTTTATGCACTTTATCTAATTCTCAAATTGCCCTGTGAGGTTTATACCACTGTGCTCCACATTTTATAAATGATAAATCTGCAGAGGCTTTGTGGATTGTGAGTGTCCTTAGAAGTAATTAAAGGAAAATAGAGCTTGTTACCATGGAGCATGTTCAGTAAGAAGATGAGATTTTTGACAAAGTTCTTGAAAAGGAGATAGAAGTGAGTGGAGGGACAGAAAGAGAAAAAACATGCAGTGAGCATCTATTATATAGTGAGCATCTATTATATTGTAGTTATAGTCTTGCAAGTTTTCCATATACCTTTTTCCATTCATCCTCAAGACAGTTGTGTGAGATAAGACTTATTATTCTCACTTTACAGATGGGGAAATTGAGGCCCAGAGACATTAAATAAATTAATGGAGGACTTTCCAGTTGTAAGTGGCAGGGACCAGATTTGAATACAGGTATATTTTGGCTCTCAAGTCCCTTCTCATTGTTGTTTAGAACAAAGACTGTAAGGCATGTGGGTGGTCCTCAGCACATGTACCAGGTGGGTCCCCCTGATGTACCAGTATAGTGACCCAATTTCCACAGGTAGTAGCAGTCATTTCATGTGTAGCTGGTTTTCTGTCTCTCTCAACTGCAGAATCCATGGGCCATCTCCCTCTTGTTCAGGACTGTATTCGAGGTGTCTAGAGACAAGTCAAAGACTGTATGAATGAATGCATACCAGGGCAGATCCCTTGCACAATAGGCGATGTTAAAAGGAAGACAGTTTTATACCGGTGGATCAGGGATGGGTCATTGACAGTTCTAATCCTGTAGAACCTTAGAGTCATCTGAGAGATTTTTATAAATAGAGATTATGAACCCACATCTGAAACCCAGAGTCAGACTTTCTAAGAGAAGGGCCTAGGAAGCTGTATTTGCACCACTCAAGGTAAGGGTCAGACAACCAGTGTAGAGACTCCTAGACCAATCCAATCAATCTAGTCTGTGGGATTAAGGTTCTGAGATTCCCTATGATCTGATCCTGGAGCTCTTGAACAATACTCCCTCTTTCTGCCACCTGCGCCCAAGCCTCCTGCCTGCTGGCTTCAAGACCAGGCCAGTGTGTGTGTGTGTGTGTGTGTGTCAGTATGGTGGGAAGACGGGGGCCAAGTCAGACATGGAGCCTTATCAGCTGAATATTTACTGACCAAAGTTCAGTCCAGCAGAGCGATAGATCCGGAGCTAACAGATACCCAAGTTTCCGGGGCTTTGATTCTGATCCCAGGGGCCTGGGGGGCCCTTATCGGTGGGTGATAATGGGCTCTCCATGTAAGGCTTAGGGGATGGTGCTCTTTGACACTCCTAGAAGAGCTGACTTGCTCCCCAGGACCCAGTTTCCTTAGGCTCTGGCCATCTGGGTGGGCAGATGCTCACTTCCCAACAATGGCTACTCTGGGCTTGCTCTTTTGGCCAAGAAGGGCTTTATATTCTGGAGTTGTCTTTGGGGCTATATTTTTGGCTTCTTGTCTTTAATTATAAAAGACAGAAGGAACCTTTTCTCAGTTGCAAGGCTTGGCACTTTCACCCCCTGGACACATGGGTCATCCATCACTGAGCATTTGCCTGTGTCATCTGAACCACACACAAAGTGAGGATCCTCCCGGTTCAGCACAGTCTGAGAGTCCAGAAAAGCTGGGGGAAAGAGGACTGTCCAGCACATTTTAATAATCAGTCAGTAAATCAACAGTTCATTTACTGAGCCCATTATGGGCCTGCCACTTGTGAAGATATAAATAAATAAGATGCTACAAGATCGCAATGACAAGTTTATCATCTACTAGGGAGCTTAAATGATACCAAGAAGGACAACCAATTGTTACACGGTGTCCTTGGGTGACATACATGGCTTTCATTTTCTAACTGAAAGTTTGGTAATTTGAGTTCATCCTGAGGTACCTCCCAAGAAAGGTCTGCTATTCTACTTCACAAGAATAAGCTACTGAAAATCCTGTGTAGCACGGGTCTGCTCAGAAATGTATATGGTTTCTATGATTAGAATTGTGTATATATACACACATATATGTTGCTATTGTAACCTGCTGTTGAGTGGAAACCAAGTCATAGCTGACCCTCTAGTGGGTTTCTAGCGGCTGTAAATTGCATGGGAGGAGACGGTCTGTCTTTCTCCTGCAGTTCAACTGGTGGATTCAAACCATACTTTTACACACATAGCTCCTCAGGAGAAAGATGCGCAGTCTCTTCCTATTCCATTTACCGCCTCTGAAAACTTGCTGGAGGGTCACGTACAAGTCAGCTCTGACTCAGTGGTACTTAACAACAATATGCATATTTATTTATTTATTTCTGTATACCTATTTATATGAGGAGACCTGATGGTCTAGTGGTAAGGAGATGCATTACCAACCTAAAGGTATGCGAGTGGAATCCACAAGCAAGCTGCTCCATGAGAGGAAGATGGGCAGTCTCCTCCTGTACAGTTTACTACCTCTGGAAACCTAATGGAGCATCAGCGATGAGTCAGTTCCAACTTGACAGTACACAACAGCAATAAGATTTGCATATATATTTATATATATATAGTACAATGAATATGAAATAAGTCTGGATATGTGTGAGATTTTAAAGATGAAGTAAAGTTCTATGAGCTTAGTGGTCAGCCAGGAGGGTCCGGATTGTCTTGAGTGAGGAAAATTTTAGAGGTCATGAGTTGGATCACCACGAGTTGGAATTGATGTATGTCTTTGCTTCAGTGAGTAAAGGAATTAGAAGACTGGGTCAAGATCCTGGAGAGTAACTAATTTGAGACTGAGAGATGGGTCTTAGTTAACTGGGTGGAGAGGAACCATAGAAGTGTTAGGGAGAGAAGGCATGACACAACTGAAGGAAAGGTTCAGCAAATCTGCTCCACCTTCTTAAGTGGGCCTCCACATTCAAGCACAATTTAAGCGAGCAAGTCCTTCAGGGGAGTGGACACTTTGGATGGGAAGTGCTTGTCTGACAAGAGAGGTAAAAGCACCAGTGACTCTGCTTCTCACAGCTCCAGCTACAGAACAAGCCCCAGCGCCACCCCGGCCATACCAGGGTGTCCGAGTGAAGGAGCCGGTGAAGGAGCTGCTGAGGAGGAAGCGTGGACACGCCAGCAGTGGAGCAGCAGTCACACCTACCGCGGTGAGGAGGCCACCAGGGTGTGTGTGTGTGTGTGTGTGTGTGTGTGTGTGTGTGTGCGTGTGTGGTGTGCAATGGAGCCCAGCAAGTGCACTCATTTGCTCCATGGGATTCTCATAGGGTCAAATTGTCAAGGTGATGGCGGCAGGTGAGTTGGTCAAGAATAGGATGAATTAGTGTTCCTTGAAGTGAGGAGGAATACAGGCTCATTGAACAAAATCCTTGCCAGGACCTGATTCACACTTATTGGTACTCTCACTGGAGGTTACCCTTGGATGAGGAAGATGTCAACTCCCTGAATACCAGCTGCACAGACTTCTTATTAAATAGGAACACAAACCTCTCCAAAGTGTAGCTGGCAGTGTTGGGTTGTGGGGTGAGATGTGTTCTAACAAGGGAGAGCATCACCCTGCAGTCCTCTGTCCTAAGGCACTCTAGGATATTTCCTGGGTCAGGTGAGTTGGAGATTGTCAAATGATGACCCTCGTATCCTCTTCCCCTCTAGGTGGTGCTGCCTCACCAACCCCTGGCGACTTACACCACAGTGGGTAAGAACTACCCCCTAGCCCTGGTCTCCTCCAGACCCCTCATCCGGGGTGGCACCTACAGTGCTGGACTGTCCTTCTTCCCACAGGTCCTTCCTGCCTTGACATGGAGGTCTCTGCTTCTGCAGTCACCGAGGAGGGTGCCCTGTGTGCAGGCTGGCTCTCCCAGCCGGCCCCCGCCACACTCCAGCCTCTGACCCCATGGACGCCCTACACAGAGTATGTGTCACACGAAGCTGTCAGCTGCCCCTACTCGGCTGACATGTATGTGCAGCCCATGTGTCCCAGCTACACAGTTGTGGGACCCTCTTCGGTGCTGACCTATGCCTCCCAGCCACTCATCACCAATGTCACGGTATGTCACATAGTAGCAGAACTTGATCAACCTTGCTGCTGATTGCAAGGGTGGTCAGGTCATCTTAGCCCACGCCACCTTAGAGTTCTTATTCCTGCTGACCAAAAATATCTTCCACAAAGGAGGCTGTAAGCTCCTTTGCCATGCTTTAAGTTCCTTGAGGGTGGGAAGTTCCTCTGTCTCTGATTTGCTCTCCATTCTTTCCATTGATACTTGGTTCCAAGTGTAGCATTCTTTGCCATGGATTGTCTGATGTAATCTGCTTGGGATTTCCTGCTAGAATCCGACCTTCAATTCAGAGAACTTAGAGAATGCTGCTCACTAATAGTAGGATTTCAACTTAACAGTTGATCAGTACGTGACTTCCACACAAGTTTTCAGAAAACAGTCCTTCTGATTGAATTGGACCCATCCAACAGGATAATTTTTGTTCTTCAATTCTGTCTCTAGGGTCAGATCACCTGAGTTCAAATCCATGACAGTTCACTTTCTAGCTATGCCGCTATTTAGCCTCTATGAACTTCAGTGTCCTTGGGACATTGAAATTGGGAATACTAATCAGAGTGCTGTAGCCAGAATCAAATAAGATAGGGCAAGCGGAGTGCTTAGCAGAAGTCCTGACATAAAGAAAGCACAAATGGATGTTAGCTACTTGAAAGCTTCAAGCCAGCCGACAAAAGATTGTTTTCACACAGCAGATGGAAATGAATCCCTGTGGAATGAGGAGAGAAACAGTTTGATATAAATGGTGTTTCTTTTCACCAGAGGAATGGGAATCTGTCAAGTGTGCAGAGGATAAAAGCTTTACTACAGTTGCAACTGTATTTAGCTCCCGTCCAGGGAGAAGTGTGGACTCAAGCCACAGGAGTAGTTGCAAAGCCCACCTACGATGGTGGCATTTGCTTTGATTTCCCTCCAAGGTCCAGGCTTCTGATGAAGCTTCTTCCTGCATCTCAATATTAACCAGGCAGGGACTGCAGAGGAGCCCTCCCACCCCATTCCTCTCCTCCACCCCACAATCCAGCAAACCAACTGTGAGGCCATGAAGATGGGAAATAGGAAGAAGTTAATGTAACACTTCTCCCAGGGAACTCATTTGCATATCAGGGGGCCTGGCAGGGTAGGAGTGGAGGGTGGGAGTGAAAGGCAGGATGGTTCCCAACCATTACATTACTAAAGATTTTCTTTTTTTCATTATTTATCCTTTCATCACCCCACCCCATGCTTTGAAAGAGTCTGTGTATCAAACAAACTGTATTTATTAAGAAATAATTTATTTGAGTTGTCATTTTGTAAATGAATTCATCAAAGAAGGCTAGAGCTCCCAATCAACACTCCTGATCAGTGGGAGATAAAACCTGTGTGGTGCTGGGTGGAGGTGATTCCTTCTGGCCAATTTACCTGGAGTTCCACTGACCTGTATGAGTTTTTTTCTTTGATAATGTAGGGTGTCTACTTGGACTCCTAAAGGATATAAACAGTAGGGCTTTCTCAGATTCAGAGAGCTCTGGTGCCATCGTCCTACGAGAGTAGTGCTTCTAACCCAAAGGATCAAGTCTGTCCACTGATCCACAAGAGAAAGACGGGTAATCTCCTTCAGTGCAATTTACAGCCTTTGAAAACGTGCTGAAGGCCAATTATAATTTGGTTCTTACTCAGGGGCAATGAGAGTTTTGGGGCTGGAGATCACTGGGTTAAATCAGTGGGATGTGGTGGGTGGGCTGTACACGTGAGATCCCTTGAAGTCTATCAGTTTATGGATAAACAGCCTGCTACCTACAATGTAAATCAACCATAGGATCTTAGTGGTTGTTGTTAGGTGCCATCGAGCCACTCGCAACTCACAGCAACCCTATGCCCTATGTACAATGTCTGAACCCTGTCCTATCCTGAGCCAATCTCACTGTCTCTGACACACCTCCCCTCATTACCACACTTACTGTGTCAATTCATCTCATGTGGGGTCTTCCTCTCCTGTGCTATCCCTCCACCCTTCTGAGCATGATGTCCTTCTCCAAGGTCTAGTCTCTCCTTGCCATGTGCTTATAGTATGTGAGATGGAATTTCAAAATCCTTGCCTCCAAGGAGCACTCTGGTTTCACTTTCTCCAGGACAGACTTGCTTGTTCTCTTAGCAGTCCCTGATAGGTTCAGTACTCTTCTCCAGCACCACAACTCAAAAGCATCAATTTTTCTTCTGCCATCTTTATTCATTGATACACAGAGAGTAATCACGAAGACTGTGGCTTGGATCAGGTGCACTTTAGTCTCTAGACTGACATCGCTGCTCCTTGGTACACATGCCCAATCTCACACTTTACTCATGATGTCTGGCACCAGAATTAGTACTGCACCAAGAACCCAGCAGATATAATTAAGCTGTGCCGTAGATGACTTTAGCCCTTGGGTGGTGCAAATAGTTAAGTGCTCAGCTGCTAACCAAAAGTTTGGAGGGTTTAGTCCACCCTGGGGTGCCTCAGAAGAAATGCCTGTATCCAAAAACCCCACCTACTATAAACCCTATGGAGTGCAGCTCTCCTCAAAACACATGGGATTAACACAAGTATGCAGTGATTCAACCACACTTGGTTTGGTTTTGTTTTTGAATGACTCTCATAGTTTCCTTTTAAGACACTGTGGTGACCAGGACTTGACAGAAGAATTGAGGCTTTAGGAAAATTTTGGTCTCTTTGATATTCCACACAGAGAACCCTTTCTTCCAACTACATCCCTCATAGATTGACCTCAGACTGTGGTAGCAGTTACTGTGTATGTGAGGGGAATTATTCCCACCACAGTGGAAAGACTCTGAAGACTTTCAGAGGCATCCAGGATGGCACTGGGAATCCAGCAAAGAGACAGAGGAATTGAGGACAGAGGAGAAATCAAGTAGCCATAGGAAAGACCACATTATGTTTGCCACAAAGTAGTATTCTCCAGAATCAGTGGAGGTCTAGGAGGGCCTTCTCCCTGCAATATGCCTCCAGGAGGGGAGGGAGGTAAGTGGAGCTGTGTGGCCAATGGCTACCCATGGCTGTAGAGTACCAGGAAAGTTCCTGAGTCTGGGTGGGACTCAGGTCATCTTATAACACAGATACTCTGTTATGTGACAGGCTAGTACACAGTATTTTCACTGATTTTTAAGATGCCCATTTCCCCCTCTTGAAAGCAGGAGTGGCATCCATTTCCTAAACAACATGCTTCTGGAAACTCTATGAACTTTGATAAATTTTGGTTGTTGTAGAAGGGCTTCAGGCCTTTTGTTAACATGGTTGTTATGAGTCGTGCTCAACTCGAAGGCAATCAACAAAAATTTCCCCCACATTTTTATGTCCCTGAAATTGAGATCTGTGTTATGCCTATGGCAACAGAACATGGAAATCTCATCTTATTGCTCAGGAGTCGGAAATGACTCATAGCTGACCCTCCAGTAGGGTTTCAGGAGCTATACATGCCTTCTTTTTCTCTAAGAGTAGTTGGTAGATTTGAACCTTTGTGTTTGCAGTTCAACTTCTTATTCCACTAGACTACCAGTTGTTCTTGTTATATGTGAAGTCTGAATTGTCAAATCTGAACCAACTCATAAGCTGACTCCCCAGTGAGTTTTCAGAGGCAATGAATGGCACTGGAGGAGACTGTCCATTTTTTTCCTGTGGAACAGCTATTGGATTTGAACTGTCATACCACTAGGTCACCAGAACCCCCTAGACCACCAGACCTCTCCAAAAATCATCCCTAAATTTCTTTCAGCTCTATGATGTTCGTTCACTTTATATCCGGATTTACAAAAGAGAAAATTGAGGCTTCAGACATGTAGCTAATAAGTGACAGAGTCCGTGATAGTGTCCCTTAGGGGAGATGCTGGGCAGGATAAGGTAAAGCCCCCTAGAGTCAAAAACAGGAATTGGCCCAGTTGAAAACAAAATGGTACCAGATGTCAGTGAAGATTGTGGATGATCACCAGAGCAGCTGGCCAACCATTAGTCCTGTGCTTTCTCATTACAGACAAGAAGTGCTGCCACCCCGACGGCGGGGCCCCAGCTGGAGAGCCCAGAGCACCAGGCACCCCTCACCTATTTCCCGTGGCCTCAGCCCATTTCCACGCTGCCCACCTCCACCCTGCAGTACCAGCCTCCAGCTCCAGCCCTGCCGGGGCCACAGTTTGTCCAGCTTCCCTTCTCTATCCAGGAGCCAGTCATGCAGGACATGGAAGATCCCCGGAGAGCCGTCAGCTCCATGACTATCGACAAGCTACTTTTGGAGGAAGAGGATAGTGAGGCCTACCCGCTCAACCACACTCTCTCAGTGGAAGGATTTTAGGCTGCCTCTCTCCGGGGGCGCTTCTCTGAAACTGGGATTTCCAAATAAGCCTGGAATTGAGCCTCAGAGTTACATCAGTCTGGAGCAATTGTTCCATAACTATACGTTGTAGAAAAAAGGGGGGGGGAAACTTGTGAATTTGCTTCTACCCATTCTCCCTCCTATTCCTATGCCTTAACCATGCCCTTCCTTCTTCACTCTATTTCTTTCTCTGTCCTTCTCTCTTTCCTCTTCATACTTCTATTCCTCCTTTCCTCCATTTCTCTCATCTTTTCTCTTTCCTTCCTTTCTTTCTCATTTCACCTCCAGTTTTGCTCCTTTTTGGGAAAGAATATTTGGGATTACAGTTTTTACTGATGTGCAGGAGTGGTGTCCACTTCCTAAACAAGCAGCCCCTGAAACTCGATGAATTTTGAGAAATGTCGATAGTTGTAGAGGGGCTTCAGGTCTTTTGTTCATAGGGTCGCTATGAGTTGTGCTCGACTCGACGGCAATCAACAACAACAACAACAATTTGATGCTAAATGCTGCCGATGTGGGTCCCAGGCACTCTCATTTCCCCCTCACTTCAGTCCTCAGAGAAGACTGCTTCTCTCCAGCTCCCACTGCTTCATCAGAGAGCTGCAGTACCAGTTACACCCGCTGTCACATTGAGATGGACTGCTGCCCTGCGGGGTGGTTCCACTGCTCACACTCCCATAGAGGCAGCCAAAGGCAGACCCAGAGTCTTTGAGCTGTCTCTTCACACAGTGACTCCTTTGTTATTCCTAACATTGACCAGATTTACAGTCTATGCAGAGAAGTCTCAAGACCTGGGGCTCAGCCTGGTGATGACTGGGGTGGGGGGGGGGTTTGTAAAACAATGAAAGAATCTTTTCTTTTACTTTTCCAAGAGGGTAGTGTTCTGGGGTGGGGGGGGGGGCCTTCAGGAATGGTGTAAACCATCTTGTTAGGTGACATTGAGCTATGACTCATAGGGACCCTGTGAGCAACAGAACTGAACTTTGTCCTAACCTGGGCCATTCTAATCAACTCTGATATGCGTAAACCCATTGTTACAGTTACCATGTCTGTCCTTCTTGTTGAGGGCCTCTCCCTCTTTCTCTGGCCTTTCCTGACATTATGTCTTTTTCCAAGGACTGGCCCCTCCTGTCAACATGCCCAGAGTATGTGAGATAAAGTTTCACCATTCTTGCCTCTAAGGAATATCCTGATTGCATTTCCTCCAAGACAGACTGGTTTAAAGAAGGGGAAATCTAGAGACTGGAAAAATTGGGCTTTTACAGGGTGAGGAAGACCAAGGAATAATTTTGCACCAGATTACTTAATTATTCAGGATGAAAGCAAACTTAAATATCACCTTGATAGTTGGTGCTGTGACTCTGTTTGTGGGATGCTTGTAAGGAAAGCTGAACCCTTGTCCCTAGAGTAAATGGTGTGTTTGCCTGGCCACATCTGTTCCGTCTCCACACCTTCTGCCTATGGCCACTGAGTGCATGCTCAGTGCTGTCACATGTGCTTCTGTAGTGTCAAAACCACCCGTAAGCCACCTCCACCCTTCTTGGGCCTCGTAGAGCCTCAGCCTGAAGTATCCTTATGCTTCATTTCAATTTGTATTTCTCTACTAGAGAAATGTCACACTTAGCTTCTGATAAGGAATCATGGTTGAACAATACATTACATCTTGGGCTAATGATTGAAATGTTGGAGGTTCCTCAGCAGTCTGGAGGAGAAAAATGCAGTCTCCTCTCTTAGGGCCTTGGAAAGTCAATGGAGGGTCAACGTGAGGCCAAACTGACTCAGTTGATAGAGGATTTGCCTTGCCTTTGAGCTCTTCATAGGAGTTCTGTTTTGGAAGCTGGCACCTCTGCCCACTAGTGGTAACATTGTCCCCAGGAGTCAAACACATTGGTTGATGAAATCCATGAGAAGTAATAGATTTTCCTGGGAAATTACCATTTTAAACAAAAACATCTTGGTACAGTTATTACCTCTCTTCTCCTCCCTCCTGTCAACTTTGGTTTATTTTGATCCAAATTTCTCTCTCTCCACTTAAAATCTCAGTAATGTTTCAAAGCCTCCTTATTCAGACTTAGAATTTAGATTTCAAATCTCAAGATGTTTTTAATTTTTTTATTTTATGCTGGTTTACTTACAAAGTTACTAATGTTTGTATACGTTTTTAAGTGAACGATTTAAATCTCTGTGAGTAGTGATGGTGAGTAGGCCACGGAAGAGCCGCCTCAGACCTCTAAAAAGAAGCCTCATTGTTCGGTACCATCTAGTTGATTATGTCCAACAGTGGTCCTGGAACAACAGATCGGAACCTTGTGTTAGCCTGTACCATCCACGTTCAAGCCCATTGTGGTAGTCACTGCGTCGGAAGCCCTGGTTTCCCATTAAAAACACTATGCAAGGCTTTTTGACTGCCAGATTTGAGAGGATGCAGAAGCATTCTTCACAAAGGAGTGTAAATTGCAGAAACGACAAACAGAAAAAACACATAAAGTCCTTTTGATATTTGCTAAGCTTTAAATGATATCTTCTTTTTTACCTAGAAGTCAAATGACCTGGCTGTAGTATGTAGTAGTCCATATAGATTTCTTACTTGGTTATTTTGCTGATAGAAACTTTGTCAATAAAGATTTGCAGAGATTTTGCTGTGAAGCGTTTTCTTTCTTATCAGATTAATCCTATTTGAGCCTTCAGTCTCATGTCAGGCACTGTTATTACAGAGGGAGTTTACATTTATCTTGTTGGTTTTGCCATTTGAGCTGCCCCAGCGAAGATAAAATCAGCCTCTGCTGTTTCTGCGAAGCCTGCAGATGGCGCAGTGGTTAAAAAGCTTGACAGCTGATGGAAAAGTCCCCCCAGAGGCACCTCGGAAGAAAGTCCTGGTGGTTTATTTCTGAAAAGTCAGTCACTAGAGCATCATGCTTTGGAGCATGGGTTCACTCTGACACACTTGAGGTCACTTTAGTGCCAGAATTGACTCCTCAGCAACTGGTTTGCTATCTTGTATCAGTCAGGTTCCCCCAGGCAGACTATTGAGACAGGTGGGCTCCATCTGGAGAGGTGGACCATCTGAAAAGAGGAAGATGCTCGTTTTCACCCTTACTGCCTTTCCTGCCACTCATGTGACGTGCATCACTTCTCATGAAGTTCGATATTTGTGCATGCAGTCTACCATTGGTGTTTCCATAGCAGGCTCTTATTTATAGTCTCTCCATGGGGCCTAATATAGGGTCTCTGTCCTCAGGAAACCATCCCTTAAGGGTAGACAACCCAGGGAAAGTAAAAATTTAACAAGTCAGTCACTCTTCTCTAAGACCAACAAACTTGGCAATGAATAACAATGTGTTCACTGTTGTTGCCTGAAGTTGCATTGATTCTGACTCATAAGCTAATTACTGTTAAGACAATTCTGACTCATGGTGAGCCTATTGACAGAGTAAAATTGCCCTGTGGCACTTCCAAGGCTGTGAATCTTTACAGGAGTTGTTTTTCACATCTTCCTCCTATGTGTGGAGTGACTGGTGAGTTTGAACAGCCTATCGATCGTCCAATTATCAGTCAAGCTATCAACCAATATGCCACCTTGGCTCCTTCTGACTCACGGTGACCTTTAGCAGCAAGCATCTGTGACTCATAGCCACCCTATACACAACAGCTCTGAAGCCTGTCCTATTCTGAGCCAATCTCACCGTCTCTGACATACCTACCCCCATTTCCCTAGTCACTGTGTCAATTCATCTCTTCTGGGGTCTTCCTCTCCTGGTCTGTCCCTCCACCCTTCTAAGCCTGATCTCCTTCTCCAAGGACTGATCCCTCTTGGCACGTGCCCAGCGTATGTCAGCTAGAGCTTCAAAATCCTAGCCTCCAAGGAGAAACTTGGTTTCACCCTCTCCAGGACAAACCTGTTCACTTTCTTGGCAATCTATGGTATATTCAATACTCTTCTCCAGTACCACAACTCCAAAGCATCAATTTTGTTTTTCTTCTGTCATCCTTAGTTATTGTCCAGCTCTCTGATGTGAAAACCATTTATGACAGCCAACTAAGAAAGCTCATTGCCATTGTGTTGGAACCAACTGATGGTTGATCCTGCAGTGGGTTTGGGGAGTCCATTGTTCTCTTGCAGACAAGCTGGATTTGGGCTGAGAGATGTGGCCTTTAGGTTAGCAGTGCAACTCTCTCCGGACTACACCACCTGAGCTCACCTAGGATAGAATTGTTGCTGTTAGGTGCCGTCAAGTTGGATATGACTCACAGTGACACTACAAACAACAGATCTGAAGCCTGTCCTATTCTGTGCCACCCTCACAATCTCTGACACCCTCAAGCCCATTGCTGCAGTCACTGTGTCAATCCCCTTGGTTGAGGGTCTTCCTCTCCTTCACTGAAACTCCATCTTCCCAAGCATGACATCCTTAGCAGTCTCCTTTTGCTGGTGGTCATCTGCATTGCTAAGAGCCTGTGCCCTCTCTACCTGAAGTAATTATTACTAGTGTAATTGTCTTTTCATTATCCACCATGCTCTGAAGTACGTCTTTCTCCTGCATCTTTTATAGGAGGATAAGTGAAATCCAAGCTCATGATTTAGCTCACTTTTCATTATCATCATCATTGTCCTTTTGTTTAATTTTCATGTGGCTCTTAACGTGGAAAACAATGAAATAAAGAGATCTGATAAGGCTTAACTATAGTTGGGGTAAATATTTTTTAAAGTATTCTTTTCTTTAAAGCTCAGTTGCTGTAGAGTCCACCATGTCTCCTGGTGACCTCAAGACTGTAAAGCTGCACCCCCAAGAGTTTTTATGGCTGATTCCTCATAAGAAAGTCGTCATGCCTCTCTTCTGAGACACGTCTGTCTTGAACCTCTGCGCTTTCGCTTAGCGTCAAGATCATAATCTTTCTGTGATACTAACTCTGCAATGGGAAGAGGGTGACCAGCTTCATGTAAAGTTGGCGCTTCATCAGATTCTGATAAATGAGGCTTTCCATTTGCAGCATAAAATAGAAGAAAGGATGAGATGAGTGTGAGGTAAGATGAAGACGTGGGA